TGAGGTATTCCAAAGCCAAGGTGCTGCTATCCAGTATTCTCTCCTTTAGCTTTGCTTGGGGAGCCTAAATTTCTGCTTCTGTACATACCTTGCACAAGTGCCTCTCTTATGCTCTAGACAGAGATAAGTGACTTTTTACAGATTTCAAGTGTGTGATTAGAAATTCACAGCTCCATGGATTTTAAGGCCAGAGAGGCTGTTGCACTAACCTAGTCAGAGCTAATGCACAGCACGGATAAGGAAATAATCTCCAACTACTCCCTGCTGCAAGCCCAGCAGCTGAAGCTGAACCACGATCTAGGTTTTAGGAAAACACACAGCAGTTTAAGATGAAGTTTAATAGTCTTCCAGGGGAAAAAACTCACCAGAGCTCTGAGTGGCTTGTTCCAATTAGAAACTTCACCCAGTGGTCAAATAGGCGTAGTATGTCTATATTTAATCTACCTACAGCTTACAACTATTGGTTTCCAATGAGCTTTTTGTCTCCAAGACTGTAATATCCTCTATTATCAAATGCCTGTCCTCCTTATCAGTATTTACAGACCGTGATTAAGTTATGACTTAACCTGCTATCTAATAAATTAGGTAGATTGAGTCTCTTGAGTCTCTCATAAAACATATGATCTGATTGTTTATGTAGGTATCTCTCAGATACCTTCTCAATTGTGCGCAATTTCTAAATTTTATCCTTGAAGAATGGGCACTTCAACCAGACATGCTACATTTCAGTAGTTTTTGCAACGGAACAATGACAGTTCTTACATGACTTTGTGTAGAAAAAGGGGAAAAGACAGATTAAAAAAGGAAGAAATCACAGAATGGAGGAGAAAAGAAGAATGAAGAGGGTTAAAAAGCAGCAAAATAACAACTGAAAGAAAAAGGAGAAGGAAGGAAAGACTCAGAGTAGGACAAGGTAGTAAAGAAATAAGTAGCTATTGAAATAGAAGCTCAGGGAGAAGCAAGAGATGAAGAAAAGACCATGCAAAGCAGTGCCTAATTACAAGCATGCTTTCATAAGTCATCTTGACAGTTCCAAGAAGCTGCCACTCCATCCTGCTACCCATCCCTCCACTCCGTTATTTCAGGCAATCAGTGCTCTCCAACAGTGACCATGGCATGATCCTCCCTGTTTAAGAACACACACTGCACCTTTGCAGAGCTTTTTGGAAGCAGAGCACCACAAGGCACTAAAACAACCAACTAACCAACCAACCAACCTCCCCCAAACCCACCACCCATGTTTGAGTCGGGCTCCACAAGAGAAGTGTGGAAGGGACTGGGGTTATTCCCATCCCTCACCCTGGAAATACCTGCCTCACTTCAAGGCCAGCACTGGAGGACTCGGTCGGAACAAACAAAAGGCAGATAGACACCAAACACACATATGGAGCTCTGGGCTCCTGTCACCAAGCCTGGGACAGCTGTGGCTTTCTCAGGATGCTGGTGTGCTCAAGTAATTAGTCCAAGGCCAGCTGTCCCCTTCTCACTCTTCATCCCCACTGCTTCTACTGCCACTGTCTATCCAAAGAGTATTTCATCTGATGGATCACCAAAAGAGTAGTGGTTTTGTTGTTGTTTATTCTTGGGAAGGAGGGAGTGGAAGAGAACTGGTGAGGTGGTAGAGAGGAAAGGACTTTTCTGAATACATCTCATGAGAGGGCTCAATGTTTCCAAACAAGGAAAGATTTGCTTTAACCTTTATATTCTGAAGTTCTGAACTGCAAATGCTTGTGCTGGTATTGAAAATGCAACCATCAGTAGTGAATCTGCCTGTTCAGGACAACTTACTGCTTGATGGACACATTCAGCTCTTCTGGGCCTGATTTCCCTCTCAGCAATCCAGAAGTAATTTAGGGAAATTAATGAACCCTATTTCAGTCTCAAGATGCTCCCTATAACACACTCCTTTCTGAAATCTTCCTGTCAATTTGTGCTAGAGCAACCTAGAGGTACCGTGGGAGCCAGGTCTCCACATCAGTGGGGGCTGAAGAAACCAGCTGAAGCTTTTACCAGTTGTGAAAGCAGAAGCCAGAACAGCACCAGCCCTTCTGTTCTCATCTGTGAAATGACATTTATAGCTTTGCCCCAAAACCCAGCTCCCCAACAGTCACAGGATGGAGGTGGGGGGAAGGCACACGGCTCCCCAGCCTGTGTTGAGCAAGTAAGGGCATGACAAAGCAAAAGGCTGGCGTGTGCATCCAGCAGCCCCGTCCTGTGACGGGGCTCCATCTACCGCAGCTTGCGCTGCATCCTGCCTGCCCGTGCATCATCTCCATAGCAGCAGTTCTGCTAATTGACACCAGCTGCTTCAATTCCAAATACTTCTCTCCAGAAATATCGATACGACGACGTTATGATTAGAAAGCACTTCACCAAATGCCTCTCAATTCTGCACAGCTCAGATGAAGAGCAGCTGCAGAAAGAAGGGACAGTTCCCTGAACGTACAGAATCAAACACTGCAGAAACACTGGAGAAATGAAGGCTATAAGCAGCAAGTCAAAACAGAATAATGATGGCTGAGAAAGCAGCCTGCTCTATATGCTTGTGCCTGTCATTTTAGATGTTGAAAGGACCAGGAGCAGACTTCATCCTTATGCTCTAGGATAAATGGCCACAGCAGTGCAGCGTTACAGCTTCATGTAGCAGGTGTGCCTATTTGTCAGATCCAGTTTTTCTGTCCAAGGATGGATTAAAGCAAAATCCATCAGTCTGAGCCTGGCTTGGGAGAGTAGCTGTGGTCTTGAATCATTTGGCTCCAGGGACTGTTGTGCACGGCCCACTGGCAAAGAGAGTCACTGGAACTGATAAGCTAGTGGGAAGATTTGCGAAGTGGGAATGCCACCACACCACCATGACTTGGCTTGACTGCTGGCTATTTCCCTGTGGCTGCTGACTCCACACAGCAAGCTGTCAGCTGGATGCTTGGCACTGGGCACACTGGGACTGCTGAAAGCTGCAAGCATTTCTCCCCTTTGGCCGGGCTGGATTAAGCTGGGTAACAGTACAGTCAATTCCCAGTTCAGTTAGAAGTCTCAGGCCCTGTCTGTGACCATCAGACACAGGGTATTCCTGAAAAGACAGCTGGTTACTGAGTTTATGCAAGAACTGGGCAGATCACTTCAATCCCATCTGTTGTTCCAACCTCCTGGGCACAGAGAACAGAATCCTTGAAAGAGCCAACGTGACCAATAATGATCTGAAAATGAGAATCACAATCCAATGCATGGTTTCTTCCGGAGAAGGATGCTGTACAATCTTTCAGCAAACACGGCACGCTTCAGCGCACGGCGGTGTAAACAAGGGCCTAACACACCGTTTCACTCCTCAGATTTCATACTACAGCCGAGGTAATGCAACACAACTAAAGCACAGAGATCACTTTGCTATGCTAAGTGATTTGCCTCCTACCCTGAAAATCAATAAGGTAAATAAAATGTTTTATACAAATGCCAGACCGTGTCTCGCAGTAAACACAATGCTCACATTTTAAAAAATATTTCTACTAAGTTACTCTGGAAAATAATCAAAGTGTTTAGAGCCTCATTCACATTTTGCCATTTACACACCTTGTTTGCTTTCATTGTGTTCCATCCATCTGCTGAATCTCCCTTTAAAGTTGCAGTTTTCTTTACCTATTTCACTTTCTAACTTTTGGTCTGTATTAGAAGAGTGTTTGAATCCACAGTGCTGCAGGAGAGGGAGTACTTCACTGAAATTTCAGGAAGGTAAGTCTGAACACCTCACAACTGAATAGAAACTTTAAGAATCTTTCTCTGAAAAAAAGAGACTTGCATTGTATGTGTAACATTCATTGACTGTATAAGCCTTTAATCTCCATTTTCTTTCTGCTCCCAGTAAGGTTGCTGTACTTACTCGTGGTGGAAAACAGCTGACACAGAAGTACGTATAAGAAAAAGCAGCGTAAAGATCTGTGCTCCCCGTGCTTGTGGGGGAGTCACTTCCCTGAAGTGTCCTACGCTGCGTGCAGACCTGTGAGTGTCATCTGCAGGTGACAGCTTGATAGAATTCTGCTGATTGCACTGCAGTTGTGTTCCCTCCCATCAAGCTGAATTTAGCCTTTCCTGTTACCAAATCCCATGAATAAACTTGTATGCATATATTTATTTTATTTCTAGGTTTTTCAATGACGCTTATGTGAGTAGATGGTATCACAAGGACAGGTAAAAAAGATTAAGCATTATTAAAAAAAAAAAAAAGACTATTGCCTATCTTTAAATAACCATAATGCTATAAACATCCACTGTATGATGGCTTGTTAGCATCAGTATTTGAACACTGAACAATGTCCATCAATGGAATTCCAAGCTCTAGGAATTAACTGCTTGGCAATTCTTCAAAAATAAAACATCTATTAAAAGCCAACAGTAAACCAGAAATCTCTTTCCATGTCATATGGTAAAAAATATAGTGAATCCTGAAAAAAAAAGAATAGAAATTAGAGTCTTCTGAATGCTCCAGTCATTGGGACCACCAACAGACAGACGCTTTGATGGTTTCCAATGGCACAGCTCTGTGGATTGTTAACAGAATTACAACAGCTTTCACCAGTCACACACCTTGGAGCATCAGATCATAAGGAACCTGTGCAGCAGAGCAAGTAGCACGAGTATTCGAACAACAGACTCACCAACAGTCTCTTCCTACTGACGTTGGTACACCTCCCTCTGCAACATGCCACAACTATTATGTGCTGTTGCAGCGCTGGAGGGCAGATGCCCAACACACATCTGCCTCAGCAGAGAAGCAACGACGCTGCAGCTGACCATTTATTTATTGTTCCCAAAGCACAGCCATACTCCCATTTAATTTCAGCTGCCCCAGCCTCCTCCATAACTAAATTATTGTTATTATGCTTCACATAATCCTGGTACTGACAGGGATGTTTGTTATATGTAATTAAAGATATTAATTTTGCATGGAACAGAAGACACAGAGCCAAGAACTTAATTTTTTCTTAAATCTCCCATTAGAAAATTACCTTCATTAGCACCGACTCGCTGAGCTTCTCTCTGTTGACAATTTTTATCGCAACCTTCTGACACGTGACACAGTGAACGCCCAACTTCACAAGCCCTGTAGGAGAAACAGCAAAAGAGAAAGGCAGAGTTGATTAGAGAAAGCTGCTGGGGAGATTTCTGCTATTAATACACCACCCAGCAGTTGGCAACTCATATGCACAGAAGTTTCCACTCGTCCCTCCTCCAGCCAGGTCTTGTGAGCGATGAAGACCCTCCAGCCCACAGTGATGCTGCCAACTTCCTTAATGGTGCTACAGTTTCTGCCATTAAAGCTGTATTTTTGTTAAAGCAGTGTATTCCAGTTCTCACCACTCAAAATGCTTTCTACCAGTAAGATGTAAACTTCTGCCAATTTAACTGCACTTGCTAAGGGCTTTTCCCAACACCCGATGGCAACAAAAAGCTCAGAAATCAACAAAACTAGATGGTGAAACATCTGCAGCGTTAACATGGCCTCTATGTTCTTTGAGCTCCTTCCAAAGTTTTCATGATTGTAATAAAAAGGTACTTTTTATGCTTTCCCTTACTATTTGAATTTACCCTGCTGTATGAAGTTAACACTGTGATGAATGCCACTGCAGCATGGATGAACATCGGTGTGTGCTCATACAGTTCTTCTTAGTTGCTATTATTTACTATATCCTTGTCCTCAAACAACTGTTAAATGATTATATTGGCAAAAGGATATGGACACCCCCGACAGGATCAGGATGTCTGAGCTATCACCAAAATACAGAACAAAACTGCAAGAATTAAAAGAAAGGGGTAAGTATAGGAAGTATTATCTTCTGCAAAATTTTGACCTAAATCTGCTGACTTGTGTTGAAGGGCTCTTTCTGGTGGTGCCCAGTGACAGGACAAGGGGCAATGGGCACAAACTGGAACACCAGAAGTTCCAGACAAACTTAAGGAAAAGCTTCTTCACTGTGAGGGTGCCGGAGCCCTGGGACAGGCTGCCCAGAGAGGGTGTGGAGTCTCCATCTCTGGAGATGTTCAAACCCACCTGGACACTTTCCTGTGCAACCTGGTGTAGACCTGCTTTGGCAGGGGGGTTGGACTGGATGATCTCCTGAGGTCCCTTCCAACTCCCACCAGTCTGTGATTGATTCCGTGAGATGTCTCCCACAAGTGAGTTTAAGATGGTCTCCTAAGCTCTCAATTCTATTGCCATTAAGAAAGTTTGTACCCAGAATAACTGTACTTTGTAGGTCTATTCAAGGGAGATCTCTTGATTTGCTTCAGCTCTTACTCTTGTCAAACGTGTGCGTGCAGCACAACACCTGATAGGCCGGATCTGATTCCACTCCACACACAATGTGCCAAACTGCCATTCAGTCTAATTCAGCTGTAACTGAAGTAAGAAGACATGGCACCTCCCTGGTGCCACAGAGACCTGCTGGGCTCCACAGAGCATTTATGAGCAATTTTCAGTTGGACTCCATGATCTTAAAGGTCTTTTCCAACCAAAACATTTCTATGATTCTATTCTATGACATCACACAGTAAGAAGACATCAAGCTCAGCTTGCAGCTCCTAGGCTGGGTTGCAGTTAAGATCCTGATCCCACCCCCTGACACAAAGCACAAAGCCAAGCACGTTGCTTTATCTGCAACTGAACACAACAAATCTGCAGCCCAGTGACACAATGAACATGGGACTGCACACCTCTTATCGAGGGGTGAACATACAGACTAGTGCCTTACTACAAACTCTCCGCAGTGAGGTCAACTGGAGTTTCATCAAGGACTCCAGCAATCTCCTCCAGATACTCATCCATCGTTCTGCTACACGGTTAATCATAAATTGGGAACCATTAATCACTGGTTATTAGGCTGAGAAATAAACTCCTGACCCGCTTGCAGTCACATCTCTTTTATGGCATGCTCAAGTGTTCTGGATAGTTCTAGTCACATAATTCCTCCGTCTCCTGGTTAAATGCTGACATCCTTACTTTCAGCCACGACATAAGTCACAAAAATTAAGAACGCCGCACACTGACAAATCCATTTGAAACTGTGCACAGCAACAGCCTGGCCTCTGCCTGAAGCAGCCAAGAAGCAGAGCTGGGGGAAGATGCTGTGATGTCTGCCTAACCCTCACTCTGAGGTCTGAATTTGTGTATTCAATAAATGTATAATATTACCCACAGCACTGCTGGCTCTATGTTCACTGCTGATGGCAGCTGCAGCCTTACTTATCCCTCTTCTCTTTGCCTTTGTGTGGATAGTGGCTACTTGGCAGCCCCGTGTTGAAAGTGTGCACAATTTCTGTGCCAACTGCTTCCTTCCTGCTTCCAGCACAAATCACAGCTCTACATCACTCTTCCAGCACAACCATCACTCTTTACATCGCTCCCAGTTACACTCTCAAACCTCAGCAGAGCTTCTAGCTTAGTCCTTTATCTCTAGACTCCCAGGATCTGTGGCGTAGTGCTGTACTGTAACGTGCTGCAGACTCATTATTTTAAGAGGTCAATAAAGTTGACAAACAACTGTTCTCTGTAACTGGTCCTTCACTCTGAAAAAACATATAAAGGCTTCCAGTATCTCACACTTCAGGGTTTGCTTTCAAATGTTGTTGCTCCCAAATCAAGACATCTGTCCCAATCAACTTGGTGGATCTGTAAACTGTTTTTCCTTTGTCTTCCCTGAAGCACCCTGAGGCTTTAACCATGAATTTCTGGCACATCACTGTGCTGTACAGGCAATCTTCAGAGCATCCTCTATCCTTCTTGAGCAGGGGGGTTGGACTAGATGACCTTCAGAGGTCCCTTTCAACCTCAACCATTCTGTGATTCTGGCTATTAACTTAATTCAAAAATTAAGATTAAACTATTCTGTTTACTCCAATAAAAGAGTTAATCAACTGTTAGAAGACACCCTGCACAGCCTGCAAAAATCACACTGATACTGAATCACACTGATTTTTATATTGAATTATTTTCATCAGCCTCAAGAAATTGCTCTTGATTTACCAGAGGACAGAATGAGAAAACACATGTGAGATTTGATGTATTTTTTCTCTTCTCCTGATTCGTGTTTTAAAAATCAAGAGAAAAATATGCACTGTCACTGCTATCTGTTTTGTGGAGATAGAACTTAAAGACAACCCTCTGAACAGCCCAAGACAGCACTTTCCACTGTACTAAATTCACTGAATGTAATTTTCGGATAAAAATAAAACATATCACTCTGCCTTGCCTCCTCCCCCCTTCCCTAGTCGCTTCCTTTTGACTTTTGCATGCCAGCCTAACCAAAAAATATCCCTCTTAGTAAGTCCATCTATAGGATCTCCTGCTCCTATGAGCAAATCCTAATTGAGCTTGGGCAGGAAGGGCTTTGTACTCAGGACTTGTGTGTCTGTCCTGTAATTCCAGCCGAGTGTATAACTACTCAGAGATGACTTCCATGGGGATTTGAACTCCTGTGGGCTTCTGATGCTTAGGAAGCCCTTTTCCTGACACAGAGAACATGAACCATTCAAGATGTATTATATATCTGCGTAATGCCATACTCCTCCAGAGAGTAAGAAGCAACTATGTGAGTAAACTGCTGAGCTGTTACTGAAATGCCCGTTGGAAACAAGTGTCCAAGGTGTGTTTACTGGAAGAGGCTGTGGATCTTCCAGTTTTTCCTCTCCTGGAGACACAGCTGTTAATGAGCACCTCGAATCCACAGCAAACCTCCCATACAAATGTGTCAATAAGTTAGGTACTGACTTGTAAAGCTCATCTATACATCAAGGCCAGCACAACCTGTGTTGTCCCCAAAGGAAACCAAACAGTGTGGCTAGGAGGATATTTTGCACTGGCTTGGCTTAAAGCAAGTCTGCCAGGCAACAAATACACTTTGAACATGTCAGCTGCGTAATTAACCCCTCAAACGCAGGAAGGTAATCTTCATGATTGTTAAAGTTAACTCTGGTCTTGTCCTGGCAGAAAATCTAAGCTGTCATGGGAATCGAGCACCAGAAGTTTCCCCCAAGCACCCACATAGCTGACACACACACACACACACACACACTCACTCCTCCAGGTACCCTGCAGATTTCCATCCGTAGGTGGTTCCTGGGGGATCCCGGGCACTGAGGTGCTGGGGCTGTCAAACAGGCTGTTACATCCCATGAGCTGCAAGCCCATCCCATGGGCTGCTTCTGATCCCAGCCACTGAGCTGCACAAGAGCCAGCCCTCTCAGTTCAGGTCAGGGAGTAAAGAAGAAAACATGAGCAGGCTGAAAAGCAAGAGGATGTGTAAGCTAACATTGTTAATTTCCCAGTGACACAAGGGAAATGCTGTTCAAGGAAGCAGAGCAGAGGGAAGCACACAGGCTGGACACGGCCTAATGCTGCACTGACCTGCTACCAACCCTGCCTGTGCATTTCACTGCGGGTAACTCCCACTCTGGGGGCGTGCAAAGATACACAGGTCTTTTCTGAAAAGGACAGGGGCTTATGTGATGGGCAAGGGACAGATTCCCACTTCCCCCTCCCTGGAAGTGTTGAAGGCCAGGTTGGATGAGGCTTTGAGCAACCTGGTCTAGTGGAAGGTGTCCCTGCTGATGACAGGGGGGTTGGGACTGGATGAGCTTTAAGGTCCCTTCCAACCCAAACCATTCTGTGATTCTATGATTTAGACCAGAAGGACGGGTGGAGAGCCCATCCTGTAGCAGTACAGAGAGGAATCCTTGATTTTACCCAAGAAGAAAGGACGGTGGGGATGGAGGAACTAAAGCTTCCCTGCAGCTGAGGCAATATATCGACCGTGAACCCCCGAGCACAGAGTCATCTCCGGGGCCTGTGTGGTAACTGGTAATCACCTCCAGGACCTCTCAGCCCGAGACAGGATTTCAGAACAGGCTGATTTCCTTTTGCCTTCCATTATGTGCAGTCATTTTCTCTAACACAGACGGAACAAAGCACTGAGTTGGGAGCTGGTGCTGTTTCATATCCACTGTACAGTTGTGTCAATAGCAGCACGAGGGACACAACTGTGGACAGTAACACCTCACTAATGATCCCATTAGTACCACTCTTCATTAGAGAAAGAAACATTCGGGGAACAAGAGAAAACTGTTTTTCAATCCTGTCTAAACTTGGAGTTTGCCAAAGACACCAATCTGAAACAAATTATCATTTTGAGAGCGAGAGAGACTAATAAATAATGAAACAACATTGTTGTTTAAATACAGGGCTTATGGTATAGTCATTGTTAATAAATAATGTTCCCAGAGTCTTTCAGAAATGTTAAACACAAGTAACTCATTACCCTGATCTTTAAACATAAGGCTAGTACCTACTTCAAGAAGTGCAATGAAAAATGAGGTACATTTGCCACATTTAATAGATATGATTTTTCCAATGGTAAATGCAGGTCTCTCATTTTCTTTTGAAATAAAACCAACCCAATGCCCTATCTGTAAGTATAGAGAAATTTCTGTAGTAGGGAAACCAGCCCCTGGTTTCAGAAGATCTCATGTCTGCCTGTCTCATGTTGCTTGCTCTCCATTTCATTTTAGAATGCATTGTCAAAAAACTTCTTTAAATTTCTGAGCAGAAGGCCCCGGCCTGGCCAGTAGTCTCTGTTTTGGCTGGATGAGCAATTAAAAGAATGTCTAGAGAGAAATAAACCCTTCTTTTAACTTGAGTTAGCTAATTGCCAATTAATTCAAGTCAATGAATACTCTGCAAATGTTAATCTAGGCACTGTAAGACACAACCATTTGTGGTTGACTTCAGGGCTCAGACTAGTGCTGGTAACAAACTATCTGGATTAAAGAAGGAACAAAAACCTTGGGCTGAACAAACCCAAACTCATGGCTTTTTAAAAAGCTGAATGTGTGTACACATATTGCTGCATATGAGCTTTGGATATATGATCTTTATATACAAGTAATGGAATTTATCCTCATAAATTGGAGGTTGTTGTCCTAAATCTCAGAAGTATTTATGGCTGCTCACTCCTGAAAACGACATGCACTAGCATTTGCAAGATCTGCAGATTTTCAAGGATGCCAGTTTAGAAAATCAACCCTTAAAGCAAACAAAAGCATTAATACAAATCAAGTGGAGTGTGGGACAATGCTTAAAATGTAATATTCTTCCTCTTTATTCTCAATAGTTATCTTGACAAACACTGTAGTTTCAATTAGGGTTAAATCAGTTCAGTTACAGTGTCTAACTCTGCTGACTGCAGTGAAGTTGCTTTAGATTTACAACAGTGGAAAACAGATTAAAATTTGCCCCACAGCAACACAATTTCCACAGCTGTAAAATAAGGATAATAACATTTACTTACTTACTTTGCAAGGGCTGTAGAAGGATTAACTGATTAATCCTTGCAAAGAATGTTGGAAAGGGATATAAATCCTATACAAGTTTTAGATATTACAACCAGGAAAACTGCATCTTAAATACCATCTGGAAAGGAAGGTCTAGATAATTTCTTATTAATAGCTTCCATTTAACTTCCCAATTCTTCTAGCACATAGATTTCTGCAATATGCATCTTATGCTCTTCTTAGCTGCACTGGAAAGAACTTTGTTACCAGGCATCCTACTTGTGGAAACCAATAATTGCCCTTAATTACTCAGTCTTCTCATTGAACAGATATTTATTTTTCTATAGCAATTGTTATCTTTAATTATTGCCTTTAAAATAAACAGAGTCCTATATCAAGTGACAGGCAAATTACACGGTATCAATTTATAATTGCATATGGGGAAAAGAGGTATAGGGTTGTCTAGAAATATAAAAGGATGAGGATGGAGCTACCCACATT